AATATGATGCATTGATTAGTAATAGGGTAATATTTTAGCCTGTTGTATCTTATGTCAGAGGACTGCCGCCCTTCCGCTGATCCATTTAATGATTCTATCAGCGAGGCTGGGTTCTATCAAAACACCAACATCGGTCTGAGCGAGCATCGTGATATCGACACCTGAGTAGAATGGCCACTCGCAGAGGCTCAGTATTCCAGAGCCCTGGCGCTTCGTTGACGAGAGTCCAGTTGTGTCGAGATTGTACTTTACGGCTTTACGGCCTCATCAATTAACTATTACTCTTTCCCTCTGAGTGAGGACATATTCCTATTTCCGACCACAAGCTTCCACTGGCGGCATCGTTCTCGTTCAGTCTTTCCTGGAATGCAATAATGGCATCGTGCTGTCTGCCTCCCCCTTTCAGAATCGGCAGAACGTTGCTGATTTGCACCTTCGTCACTGTTCCGTATTTCAAAATCTACATTACCTTAAATTGCGTACGCCACTGCTGTACAGACACGTTAGAGTTGCACAGCACGAGGCAACGTTTGTTGACTGTACAACACGCCGTTACTCCAACCAAGCTTTTGCCGGCACCGCAGGGCAGAACAATGACCCCGGACCGCGCTCTACTGTTGCCGAACATTTTCCGAAGACATTTTTCCTGATAAGGCCTGCAATGCTCGCGTAAAAGCTCAACAATAATGGACACAGCCCAACAGTATGAATACCTCAAAACAGCACAAGGTTTGAGATCAATTTCGAGATTAGGATTCTGCGTGTCGTTACGAAAGTCGTACTCGGCCAACAGTGGATATTCCATTTCGATACAGCGCTTCTGCAAAACTTCGATGCTTTCCTGTTTCACCTGCATTTAAACAATGCTACAAGGTCAATTTACAAGAATTTCGAAGCAACGACTTTACTTCAAAGACGAAAACCTCCAAATTTCTCACAGCTCTTTCGTCATCGTCGTCTTTATCTAAATTACTCAAGCATTTGCGTATGTACTGCTGCTCGGAAGACTCGCTAAACGAAAAAGATTTCGGTTATAACTACAAAAAACTATAAACTAACTTTGCAGAATCCTCTGCGTGTTGCTCAGTGGTCATCTCTGGCTTATTATCTTCACCGAGGAGGATACACCCTCGAATGACAGAGTCCTTCAGCAGCTGTTGGATGACATTAGAATGAGTTGATTCCACGAAGTAACGGTTATGCTTCAGGACTAGCTTCACCTTGCCGTAGCTTATGGTACAGAGCTACAAAACAAATCACCTACTACAAAAAATAATCAAAATAATCAAATAATTATTTTCATAAAAATATAAAAATGTCTTTCGACATTATGATTTCAAGGTTCAAATCTTTATGTTATTAACCGTACAATCACTGGTCAGCAGATTAACGTCCCGCAATTACTTTCATATCAAAAACGATAGTTTTTGATTCTGATGCAGGAACAAAAAAATAATTCATATAAATTGACTTTAAAGCATATTCGAACGATTTGCTTCTGCATACTGAATGCCTCTAGAATGGAAAGCAAAACAGCTATTTTCCTCCACCTATCAGCCAAAGACCCCAGATAAGGTTAAAAATGAAATGGAGTCGATTCAAGTGCTTCGATGAACTCAGCTCAAGATTCGGGTCTTTATGACGCTGACACAGCATCAGGGACGATAACAACACTGTCTGACGCTGCTACTTCGGCGAACCGAAAAGATAATCAGTCATCGAAATGCAACCAAACTGAATGCAAGAACAAAACTAGGATTCGGTATATTAACTATATTCAGATCACTGAACATTGTGTTAAACAATTACTTTAATGAAATCGGTGATGCCCGTAGGCAACGTGGTTTTCGACAGACGTTCCAGGTACTCGATTATGTCACTGGTCTGCAAGCCGACCGACACCGCAGCGTACAGCGAATATGCAGTCAACTGGTACTCGTGAAGGAACTCGGGACGGCACAACGGCTAAAATAACTGATTAGAATGAAAACATAAAAACAACATCGCAAAGGATAATGATCCCCTCTGTTAAGACGGTTGGATATTATCATGCAGAGTAACAAAAATAATTTTCAATTGGATAGGCGAATGATCTCTAACACGAAGTCAGAGGACAAGCAGAATGAGATACTACAAACCAACAAAAGAATAAACACTTACATAAATTTCAAATTACCCAAAGAAACAGGATTATTGAATCAGTGAAAACAATGCAAATAATACTTCTGATATGGTAATAAGGAAGTCATGCGCTTGTTTGTAAAGAGGCGAGTAAGATTCAAGGAAAACGTGACCATCTGGTGCGACCCAGAGAGGACGAAGCTCGTGGTCCGGTTTGAGATCCATTTGCGAGCGATAATCTTTGGCTCCAAACTCGTCGGTTATGCATTCTTCGCTGACCTTCTTGCTGGCCGCCTTCGGAACGCCAGCTTCTCCTGTGATAAAGAAAATTCGATTAATTTTTAAGTCATTAATGTAATTCTGATTTCCATAAGGTAAAAAATATTTTAATACCGAATGACGTTATTATGAAAGGTTACTTCTGACAAGTATCTATCATATGAAGCACAGCTTCAAAGAAAACTTACCAAAAAATAATTTATGAAAGGATAACTAATCTGGAAAGATATGCAGAAAATAAAACCTCTGAAGGCTCCCGAAAAACTTACGAAGATTCATAAGTGAGGTGCAAAGCACTGAGCTGTCGCCAGGCCTTCGAAGGAGTGACAGAAAAGAAAGCATTGGCGAATGTGGAAATCTATAGCAGTCTTCTGACACCTTATGACAGCATTAAATAACTTGTAAATGCATGCTACAGAGTTTAACATGGACTAGATATAACATACCCTTAAACGATTCTAGATCGTCGTTTGGATCATCAATTTTGGCCGATTCGCTTGAAAACGACGGATTGTACACTTCCCATCTTGACTTTACTTTTCTCTGTTTTTTCTTCGAACCGTCCATCACTGAAACTTGCACAATTAAAAACGAAAATATAAAATCATTTTTCATTCCGTTCGAATGAATTACTTCTATGCTAATTGCTATGAAAAATTAAAGTTATAAACTTCGAGAATATGCGTAAAACAGCGTTTGAACACACAACCTTTTAACAGCACACTATTTCACTAGAATAATATCCTTAATTACCTTACAGTATAATACAGTGTCAAAACGTCTTTGTATCTTTTATCTTGCTTATTCACCCCGTTTTCTAACTGCCAGAATTCTATTATACCTTTGGTTTAAAATAGTTAAACCAACTGCTGATCCTGCTCTTAACCGATAATTACCACGTAACTGCAGGTTCGATTTCGATTCTACGCGCAGTATGAAAGTTTTCGAACATACCATATTTAATGTTATGATTATAACTAAACCGTTTCTCTACCTGGAGGGTATACGAATCATTTAAAGCATGGTGCGCCAGGTAATTGTGATCTGTAAGTACACACTACAGAGTGTAAAATTAATTAGTATTTAAGAAATTATACTTCATACTAGTAACCTTTTGAATCAGAAGGATATGCTTTTGTCATGCATGGCATGACATTATATGAGTCTGAAATCAAACTATATTATTCCGGTATTTCACATATAATAACTCCACGCACTGAGAAATGAGAACTCTCAAAACAAGGTGATCACCATGGCTCAAGACCTCTAGATTCGTAGATCATTAGAAGGTTCGCCTAACCTTCAAATTTTTTGGTAATAAGTTATGCTTTTCACTTATAGATCGACTTCTGTAGGAGCTTACAGATTTTTGAGTAATAGCGCGGCATAAATGAGCCTGCATTTGAATTTAAAGTTTGTAAGTAAAATTTTCTTATTAACTGCTAATTCTATTGACAGGCAAGTCGTTGACCTACGAAGAATAGGCACCTGCCTAATCATACCAGAGGATGCAAGATTTACTATCATGCTGCTTGATTGGCACGCTTAACGTTTGTAGCTCAACTTAATTCACACGGTAATTGACTACTACTGTATGAAGATGTTTGCCGTAAAAATCTAATTAAATGGAGCAAAACGTTAGTCTTTCGATCGAAGATGCGTAGGCGATCATTCAACATGTCATTGTTTCACGATACATTGGCATTTGTTTCAGTTTAATCAACCTTTATAAATTTATCTACTGTTCTATCAATCACCAGAGCTGTTGCGGATAGCCATTATAATTTTTCAAACTTCACAATATAAGGTTATTCACGTATGTCTACCACTAGAAATGTGGCATTTTTACGTTGCCCCTTAAGAAAGGAATCGATTAGAAAACGTTATGTAATTCAACATTGGTATACGGATACCGTGTTATAAATTCATCACTATAAATCGCCAGAACTCCAACGTTTTGAATATCGTCATAGAAATCAACCCTTTTCTCTAATTGATAGTCACCTTTCTTACAGATATTTGCGTTTAAAAATCTGAATAGATCTATAATTTTTCAATGGCCGTAGGTTCGATAGCTTATTACAAAATTAATCTATATCATAGCAAATTACATTCTATCTTCAAATCTTGTTTTTCTGTCAGCTTCGTTCAGTGTCATTTGGGAGCGGAGTATCTCAAAATCCAAACCTCAGAATCAAGTTCCATTAGATAGAGGATTCTTTCCTCGATTTTTATTAACACCTATAACTCATGTAAGTCACCAGTTGGCTTTGCCCATTGCGCCTTATTTTAACTCATGATGTTTTATGGTTACAATTACAGTTTTTGCATCCAATCAACATATTCCTTTGTTTTCATATCAAATATTTATTAATGGCTATGTATCAAAAGGTAACTTCTCCGTTGCCGGTCTCAAGCCCGGATGAGAAAGGAGGAGGGTTGGAGACCGTGGCAAGTCTCCGTGAAATTTAGTCACCTGCCACACATGATATTGACGCCATCGAAAATCATACCGGCCCGGCCGTCGCCCGGGTTACTAACGGCTGAGCAGTTGTTCTGAACGGAGGAG